AAGTTATCTGGCTCCCTTTATCCCTTTCTTTGATCCTTTCTTCCTTCCCATGTCCTTTGCTCAGGCAACAATGGGGACATCCTCCCTCTCGTCACTCATCTCGGAGCTGGGATCACAAGTGGGAAGAGGGCTAGCGAAGCTAGAGAGTGGGCAGCTCTAACCCAAACCTAGGCCACCTCCGTATTCTCTTTTCTGGATGGTCTGGGGTTCAAGAGTCCCTGCAAGGATTTTCCACAAGTTAATGACACTCCTCTAGGTTTTCCATGGAAGTGAGGATTATTTAGTTCATTAAGGGAAATGAATGATGCCTCAAAAACAAAACAAAAACAAGATCTTCTAAAATATTTTTCTGTAAAGAGTCAAACTTCAGACAGTGCACAGCTTGGCCATTATACTGTCAAAGTAGCCATCAGCAGACTGTAAATGAATGTACATGGCTGTGTTTAATAAAACTTTATGGCTGGCAGGAACGAGCCCATAAGCCATAGCTTAATGGTTTAAGTGAACTATGAAATATAAGTCAAACATGCTTCCTAAGCTTTTTAACAATAAAATGACCATTACTATTATTTCTAGCAGTTATTTCCTCTTCTCCTGGTTTAGGGCATTCAACAAGTTGTCATGATAGTTTCTTCTTATTTCCAGATCTTTTGTGTCTTACACCATGATGGTTATTGTGGTGAATTTCATTGTGCCTTTGACAGTAATGTTTTACTGTTATTACCATGTCACTCAGTCTATGAGACTTCATGCTGCCAGGAACTGCACTGCATATCTTAACAGAGACTGGGCCGACCAGGCAGATGTAACAAAGGTAAGAAGTTGAAATCTTTGAAATGTTGTTGGTAATAAAGCTTTAAATATACATAGCTGGAAAGTTCCAGAGCCTCCCCCAGGCTCCTTTCCTTTACTGCCATTTTTACTACCCTGCTCTTTCTGCTGGTGTTTGTCCTTGTGTTGTTGAATACTATGACTATCTGTTCCTCAGATGTCTCTTTGTGCGTTCTGATCCCTGACATCCTCCTATAGACTGTGAGGATTCCTGTATCCAGCCTGTGATAGGGGAGGTCCTTCTGTGTATATGTTTGTCTTATTGGTTGATAAGTAAAGCACTGTTGGCCAATAGGGAAGCAAGTTAGGCAGGACTAGGAGAGAAGGAGGATTCTGGGAAATGTAGTAGGCAGTCACCATGTGATCCCAGGAAGATAGGATGCTACGGCTGGCATCCTCTATAAGATAAGTCCTTATAAAATATATAGATTAGTAGTTATGGTTGATAATTAGGACTGAGCTAGCATATAAGAAATCTTAGTCATTGGCCAGCAGCATTGTACCTAATATTAATCTGTGTGTTATTTGGGTGCCCACGTGGCAGCAGGGCTCAGGAGGCTGGCAGAAAGAGTTATCCTTACACGATGCTATGTGGCAATGCTGCAACTGCAGTTATCCTTACAAGCCTGGTCCTTCCCCCACCCCCCTTCTCTTTCATCCTGAAATATGGTAGCAGTATTTGGTTAGATTCAAAAGCTTTCTCTTCCTTTGATATGTTCAGACATCCCAGACACAAGGTTCATATTGTCTTCCTCTTGGAACTAATCCTTCCTATACCCTTGAGTGCCTTGATTTTCCCTGGTCAGGCCATTCTGTAAGCAGAGACTTTCCCTTCATCATATAAGCAAGGTGCAAAGGATTCCTCTACACATTACTTGTATTTACTGTATATAAAACATGCCGCCAAATGGCTACTGATAGAGCTCACTGAGCTTAAGATAGGACTGTGTTTCCAGGTTGAGTTAGGAAAGTTTGCTTAGTTGAGAGTAGCACATAATAACGGGGTGGGCAGTTGTCAGTAACACTACAAGTGGGTTGGAGAGGTTTGCATGCATATTTGCTTGCAGCTAGCATTGTGTGCTCTCCCGGGCACGTGAAATAAAAGGATGTTCTTTACAGTATGTAACACTCTTAGCAGCAATGTCACATGTTGCTCAACACAGCCATTTGCAATTGCTGTCATAGGTGACTTCAGGAGCCAGAACAAAGACTAGTGAAGGCAGAGCCCTGGCTTCTTTATGTTACCAACACAATTCGAACCTACATTCTCATGCTACTGTAGATGTATTGGCCATGTAAAACATTTAGATGCTCGTCTTGGTGATTATCTCTTTGCAGATGTCTGTGATAATGATATTGATGTTTCTGCTGGCATGGTCCCCTTATTCCATTGTGTGCTTATGGGCTTGTTTTGGAGACCCCAAAAAGATTCCTCCTTCAGTGGCCATCATAGCTCCACTGTTTGCCAAATCCTCTACATTCTACAACCCCTGTATTTATGTTGCTGCTAATAAGAGGTAAGTAGTGTTTATAGTGTTTCTGAATCAGTGACTAGTGTTCTAAGACTTTGAGAGTTAAGTGACAGAAACCTGTGACAGCTATCATAGTTAGGGTTTCTAACCCTGTGACAAAGCACCATGGTCAAAAGCAGCTTGTGGAGGACAGAGTTTCTTTCAGCTTACGTTGTAGTCTGTTACTGAGGAAGTCAGGGAAGGGGCTTGGGGCAGAAGCCTGGAGGCAGGAGCTGATACAGAGGCCGTGCAGTAGTGCAGTAGTGCTGCTTACAGGCCTGCTCAGCCTGTGTCCTCATAGCATGCAGGGCCACCTGCTGACGGATGGCACTGCCCACAGTGGATTGCCCCCCACATATCAGTAATCAGTCAAGAAAATGAACCATAGGCTTGTCCACGGCTCAATCTGATGGGGGCATTTTCTCAATCCTGGTTCTCTTTTTCCAAATGACTTTAGCCAGTGTCAAGCTGACATCAAACCAGCCAGCACAACCACCTAGTTTAAGGTTATTTGGCTTATACAAATAACTGTTGAAAACAGCCAAGATCTTACATATTTAGAGCTCTATTCTTGTGGCAGATTCTTCCTGCATGGTGGCAGAAATATCCTTGGGTAACCCCGACCCAAATTCTACCAGCTCAGCATCCAAAGATAGCCTTCATCTCAAATGACCACATGGCAGAAAAGTTCCTAGCTGGTCACTGGTCAGCTAGGTTTGAGTGCTTAACCCACCCAGGTATATGTAATAGGGTTTTTCAAAGGAAAGAGTAGGCAGGCAGCAAGCCCAGACAAGACCTTGGGCCCTCAGTGGGTGGTGTAGCTGTACACTTACAGGAGTGGTCAATCGTGTAGTATAATAGAGAAGCTCTTGTTCCTTCACCTAACTCCTGGGTAAAGTTTAGAGTATTTCATTTTCTATTGCTGTGGGATGATGAGCCAATTTGTTGTGCTGAACCCTGGTAAGTCATAGAATGCCACTGTTTAAATGTGTATGCCTACGCACAGATTTGAGAGGACATTTTGGCTGTAGATACATGAAAGAACAGACAGACTCTAGGATGAGGTAGAGCACACAGGAGACCAAGGGCATATTTTGAGGTCAGAATCTCCTGGAAGTTCTCTGGGAAAGACCAGCCGTTCTCAAGCCCCATCGGATCCAACTGGACTTTGCACAGGGGACCAGATCTGTGAAAAATGAATCCTTAATTCAAACAAGTAACTTATTGCACTTGGAAGTTGATGTGTCATTTTAAACATATATAGTTATTGAGTTTATCAGATGTCCACCATGTTTGTCTTCAGTGGTGCAAAATTGGTCTTTTTGTTTGTTTGTTTGTTTTTGTTTTTTTGTTTTTTGTTTTTCGAGACAGGGTTTCTCTGTGTATCTTTGGA